AGAGGCAACCACTGCATTTTAATCATGATCCAAACAAAGATGCTGCATACATGCAACATGAGCAGTTTTTAATCTAATTTGAAGCAAACACAGAATGGTTTGACTTCAGTTTTGTGAAACTATACATAAACATATCTGCATGAAACAGCAGAGCTGAATGAGACGCAGATTCACTCTCTGCCAGCAGGTGGCGCTTAAAGCGTTTCATTGGTTTCCGCTGTAAACAAAGCAGGGTTGCACTTAACTCTTTCCCCGCCAGCATTTTTGAAAAAAGTTGCCAGCCACCGCCAGGGATTTTAATGATTTTCACTAGAATTTGATGGCCTCCAGAATATTTTGCTGTATGAATATTTGAATATGCAATACACCAAAATAAAGATCAGAGCCTCTACTTTTAAACAAAAAAAGTTTTATTCTAGCTTAAAGCATTCTTTTTTTATCAACACTTGAATATAGGTAGGTTTCATAAAAATGCATAATTTTGAGCAAAAAGATGAGAAAATCTATTTCTTTTATCAAAAACTACATCTGGGTAATATTCAGTACGATTATCAAAGCATAAATCCAGTAAATCGCTTTTATCAACACCTCCAAAGCTTGCACAGACATATACCACTTCCTGGATCAACATTTTACTCCGTAACATTATGCAGATTTCATTTATATGCTGCCTATTGCTGATGATCGCATTATTTTTCACATGCATCTGTTTACATAAGAGATCGCTCATTTCTTCGTCCTGTTTACGCGTGTTTTTGTTCGGGAGGTTTTGTACTTGTTCAGAAGATGCGTAATAGCGCCCCCGAGTGTATAACAGTGAAAACACTGTACTCGTTCAGAAGATGTGTAATAGCGCCCCCTAGTGTATAACAGTGAAAACACGAAAAGCCGTAAAAACTCATCTTTGGCGGGGAAGCGTTGTCTTCTAAAAGACGAGATAACTCATCAATGGTGGGGAAAGAGTTAATCTGACACTTTAGAACGTTAATAAAGTAGGAAGTTGCCGTTTCAGCGATATTTTTATCTTATCTTATTTTCAAAAGATGTGAAATAATTTCGGTTTATTTTTCTTTCTTTCTTTTTTTTTTTATAACACTATCTGGCAACACTGCATCGCCAGCACTTAAACTGACAGTAATCAAAAAAGCCCACGGACAGGTTATTGCTGACAGGATTCGACATTCTGTAAGGAAAACGCAAAAATTATCACAATATTTTCTATTGGAAATGTTATCAAGGCTGTCAAAAACAGTAGCATTTAACACTAGTACACAGATCTGTAGAACAAGTAGATTACAGAATGAAATGAAATCCGCAAACACAAGCCATGAAGAAGTCTATGCTACTGTATGTCATTCAGTATAGTAGTTAAACTTTCACAAATCAGGCTATAAACATTCATAAGAACACTAGACATAGTTATCATATAGCAATGATTATTAATGAAAACTATAACAATGATATCTATTGTTGCATGAATAATAAACAACTGATAAAATTATCCACCCCATAACTATATTAAAGTATTAACAAATTTTGATGCAATAAATAGGGTATGATTTAAAAACGATCATCCCTCCAAAACAGAGAAGACATCTTTTACAAACATCACAAACATCTGTCTGTATATAACGAGTTGTATTATTACAGCACCCCCCTCCTCCCACAAACACTAATTTTCAAAGTCTGGCTACGGCCATGCCGCTATCGCTATGCAGAGTATTTAAATCTCTTTTGAATGAGCACTCGCTGTTCTCTTTCACTTTCGATTTGGTGATCAGGCACTCTGTGTAAAAAGAACACATCTTACAAGATCAGATATCTGTCAGTCTGTTGAGCAGCAAATCCTCCAGCATGGTCTGTCAGTCATCTCTTCTTACTCTCGACCTGTGATCAGTTAAATCTGACTCCTGCAGCTGCATTGGATGCAGGGTTGCCAAGTCTGCGTTTTTCCCCCTTGGAATTGGGCTACTGTTGCCATTGGTTGATTTTCCCTTGTGGGTTAAATGTTTGAAATATTGCATAAATTACATTTGACTGAAATGCTTGTAACATTTTAAGATTTTCCATTCTACCCATGATAAACTGAGGTAGATGTTAAGTCTTGTAACCCTAACTAAGCTTGTGTGTTTACGATGTTACTGTACTGATACACATAGAGTGGCTGTTTATATTGCAGCAGATTATTTGGAATTGAATCAAGGTTATGTCGAAATACGCAAATTAAATTAAATATAATGTGCAATAAAGCTGATTTGTTCTTACAGAGCTTCATTATGGTGAACTGCTGTGGTCTTGTGTCTGAGAAAAATGTGCCAGGTATAAACTCTTCACTTCCTCCCTATAATTACAGCTTTAACTGTTTATTTTTTGTATAATTCTTGCTAATTACCAAAAGTGTATTTTCTCAGGCGCAGATCTTCTGAAGAGAGTGTTGAGATGTTTGTATAGATCTTGTGAAGAGAATGTTGAGATGTTTGTGTGTTTGATCTTCTGAAGAGAGTGTTGAGATGTTTGTGTAGATCTTCTGAAGAGAGTGTTGAGATGTTTGTGTGTTTGATCTTCTGAAGAGAGTGTTTAGATGTTTGTGTGTTTGATCTTCTTAAGAGTGTTGAGATGTTTGTGTCTTTGATCTTCTGAAGAGAGTGTTGAGATGTTTGTGTAGATCTTCTGAAGAGAGGGTTGAGATGTTTGTGTGTTTGATCTTCTGAGGAGAGTGTTGAGGTGTTTATGTGTTGGTGTAGATCTTCTGAAGAGAGTGTTGAGATGTTTGTGTAGATCTTCTGAAGAGAGGGTTGAGATGTTTGTGTGTTTGATCTTCTGAGGAGAGTGTTGAGGTGTTTATGTGTTGGTGTAGATCTTCTGAAGAGAGTGTTGAGATGTTTGTGTAGATCTTCTGAAGAGAGGGTTGAGATGTTTGTGTGTTTGATCTTCTGAGGAGAGTGTTGAGGTGTTTATGTGTTGGTGTAGATCTTCTGAAGAGAGTGTTGAGATGTTTGTGTAGATCTTCTGAAGAGAGGGTTGAGATGTTTGTGTGTTTGATCTTCTGAGGAGAGTGTTGAGGTGTTTATGTGTTGGTGTAGATCTTCTGAAGAGAGTGTTGAGATGTTTGTGTAGATCTTCTGAAGAGAGGGTTGAGATGTTTGTGTGTTTGATCTTCTGAGGAGAGTGTTGAGGTGTTTATGTGTTGGTGTAGATCTTCTGAAGAGAGTGTTGAGATGTTTGTGTAGATCTTCTGAAGAGAGGGTTGAGATGTTTGTGTGTTTGATCTTCTGAGGAGAGTGTTGAGGTGTTTATGTGTTGGTGTAGATCTTCTGAAGAGAGTGTTGAGATGTTTGTGTAGATCTTCTGAAGAGAGGGTTGAGATGTTTGTGTGTTTGATCTTCTGAGGAGAGTGTTGAGGTGTTTATGTGTTGGTGTAGATCTTCTGAAGAGAGTGTTGAGATGTTTGTGTAGATCTTCTGAAGAGAGGGTTGAGATGTTTGTGTGTTTGATCTTCTGAGGAGAGTGTTGAGGTGTTTATGTGTTGGTGTAGATCTTCTGAAGAGAGTGTTGAGATGTTTGTGTAGATCTTCTGAAGAGAGGGTTGAGATGTTTGTGTGTTTGATCTTCTGAGGAGAGTGTTGAGGTGTTTATGTGTTGGTGTAGATCTTCTGAAGAGAGTGTTGAGATGTTTGTGTAGATCTTCTGAAGAGAGGGTTGAGATGTTTGTGTGTTTGATCTTCTGAGGAGAGTGTTGAGGTGTTTATGTGTTGGTGTAGATCTTCTGAAGAGAGTGTTGAGATGTTTGTGTAGATCTTCTGAAGAGAGGGTTGAGATGTTTGTGTGTTTGATCTTCTGAGGAGAGTGTTGAGGTGTTTATGTGTTGGTGTAGATCTTCTGAAGAGAGTGTTGAGATGTTTGTGTAGATCTTCTGAAGAGAGGGTTGAGATGTTTGTGTGTTTGATCTTCTGAGGAGAGTGTTGAGGTGTTTATGTGTTGGTGTAGATCTTCTGAAGAGAGTGTTGAGATGTTTGTGTAGATCTTCTGAAGAGAGGGTTGAGATGTTTGTGTGTTTGATCTTCTGAGGAGAGTGTTGAGGTGTTTATGTGTTGGTGTAGATCTTCTGAAGAGAGTGTTGAGATGTTTGTGTAGATCTTCTGAAGAGAGGGTTGAGATGTTTGTGTGTTTGATCTTCTGAGGAGAGTGTTGAGGTGTTTATGTGTTGGTGTAGATCTTCTGAAGAGAGTGTTGAGATGTTTGTGTAGATCTTCTGAAGAGAGGGTTGAGATGTTTGTGTGTTTGATCTTCTGAGGAGAGTGTTGAGGTGTTTATGTGTTGGTGTAGATCTTCTGAAGAGAGTGTTGAGATGTTTGTGTAGATCTTCTGAAGAGAGGGTTGAGATGTTTGTGTGTTTGATCTTCTGAGGAGAGTGTTGAGGTGTTTATGTGTTGGTGTAGATCTTCTGAAGAGAGTGTTGAGATGTTTGTGTAGATCTTCTGAAGAGAGGGTTGAGATGTTTGTGTGTTTGATCTTCTGAGGAGAGTGTTGAGGTGTTTATGTGTTGGTGTAGATCTTCTGAAGAGAGTGTTGAGATGTTTGTGTAGATCTTCTGAAGAGAGGGTTGAGATGTTTGTGTGTTTGATCTTCTGAGGAGAGTGTTGAGGTGTTTATGTGTTGGTGTAGATCTTCTGAAGAGAGTGTTGAGATGTTTGTGTAGATCTTCTGAAGAGAGGGTTGAGATGTTTGTGTGTTTGATCTTCTGAGGAGAGTGTTGAGGTGTTTATGTGTTGGTGTAGATCTTCTGAAGAGAGTGTTGAGATGTTTGTGTAGATCTTCTGAAGAGAGGGTTGAGATGTTTGTGTGTTTGATCTTCTGAGGAGAGTGTTGAGGTGTTTATGTGTTGGTGTAGATCTTCTGAAGAGAGTGTTGAGATGTTTGTGTAGATCTTCTGAAGAGAGGGTTGAGATGTTTGTGTGTTTGATCTTCTGAGGAGAGTGTTGAGGTGTTTATGTGTTGGTGTAGATCTTCTGAAGAGAGTGTTGAGATGTTTGTGTAGATCTTCTGAAGAGAGGGTTGAGATGTTTGTGTGTTTGATCTTCTGAGGAGAGTGTTGAGGTGTTTATGTGTTGGTGTAGATCTTCTGAAGAGAGTGTTGAGATGTTTGTGTAGATCTTCTGAAGAGAGGGTTGAGATGTTTGTGTGTTTGATCTTCTGAGGAGAGTGTTGAGGTGTTTATGTGTTGGTGTAGATCTTCTGAAGAGAGTGTTGAGATGTTTGTGTAGATCTTCTGAAGAGAGGGTTGAGATGTTTGTGTGTTTGATCTTCTGAGGAGAGTGTTGAGGTGTTTATGTGTTGGTGTAGATCTTCTGAAGAGAGTGTTGAGATGTTTGTGTAGATCTTCTGAAGAGAGGGTTGAGATGTTTGTGTGTTTGATCTTCTGAGGAGAGTGTTGAGGTGTTTATGTGTTGGTGTAGATCTTCTGAAGAGAGTGTTGAGATGTTTGTGTAGATCTTCTGAAGAGAGGGTTGAGATGTTTGTGTGTTTGATCTTCTGAGGAGAGTGTTGAGGTGTTTATGTGTTGGTGTAGATCTTCTGAAGAGAGTGTTGAGATGTTTGTGTAGATCTTCTGAAGAGAGGGTTGAGATGTTTGTGTGTTTGATCTTCTGAGGAGAGTGTTGAGGTGTTTATGTGTTGGTGTAGATCTTCTGAAGAGAGTGTTGAGATGTTTGTGTAGATCTTCTGAAGAGAGGGTTGAGATGTTTGTGTGTTTGATCTTCTGAGGAGAGTGTTGAGGTGTTTATGTGTTGGTGTAGATCTTCTGAAGAGAGTGTTGAGATGTTTGTGTAGATCTTCTGAAGAGAGGGTTGAGATGTTTGTGTGTTTGATCTTCTGAGGAGAGTGTTGAGGTGTTTATGTGTTGGTGTAGATCTTCTGAAGAGAGTGTTGAGATGTTTGTGTAGATCTTCTGAAGAGAGGGTTGAGATGTTTGTGTGTTTGATCTTCTGAGGAGAGTGTTGAGGTGTTTATGTGTTGGTGTAGATCTTCTGAAGAGAGTGTTGAGATGTTTGTGTGTTTGTGTAGATCTTCTGAAGAGAGTATTGAGGTGTTTATGTGTTTGATCTTCTGTAGAGAGTGTTGAGATGTTTGATCTTCTGAAGAGAGTGTTTGTATGTTTGTGTAGATCTTCTGAAGAGAGTGTTGAGATGTTTGTGTGTTTGATCTTCTGAAGAGAGTGTTGAGATGTTTGTGTGTTTCTCTCAGTTCCTCTGAAGAGCATCTCAGTCCAGCTGCAGGTTCAGGATCATGTGGCCTCAGTCAGCTCCAGTCTGCAGTATATCAATGAGGAGGATCGTCCGCTGGAGGCCGTGTTCGTCTTCCCGCTGCCCGCCGATGCCGCCGTCTGCCACTTCAGCGCCAGGATCGGAGAGCAGGAGATTGTTGCAGAGGTGCAGGACAAACAGAGCGTGAGTCTAAACAGCAGTGGTGTTGTGTTTTATCTATTCCTGCTCCATCACGACCCTAATCGAACACACCTGTGTGCTGGCGCTAAACTCTGGAGGACAGTGGCTCTATGCTCATGTCAGCTGGTATAACAGTAAGTTAGGATGTTCTGGTGTTGGGGTTATGGATGTGTTTGTCTCTCACAGGCACGGGATCAGTATGATGATGCTGTGAGTTCCGGTCAGCAGGCGTTTCTGCTGGAAGAGAGCGATCAGAGTTCGGACTATTCCTCCTCTGTCGGGTCTACAAGTTGTGTTCGTGTGTCATTCTTCCGTCCTGGTGTGAATTTACCCAATATTGTGGCTTCATTAAAGACTGTTTCGCTTGCTTATGTCTCCATCGTTCCTTCCGGCAGCGTAACATGACAGAAGACCCAACCCGCATACAGTATATCAGCATGTTTTCGACCCCTTTGTTTCCGTTTTTCCTACAGTGTTTTTGTTTCTGTTGTGTTCTCCCTCATGGATGCCCTCCTTTTTCCCGAATATCTCCTCCTGCTGCTGGAGCAGGGGGACAGATCTCTCGAGGACCATACAAGACTGTTCCTGATGTTAGCTAACACCACCAGCTACCCGGACGACACGCTCTGCTCATTCTGCTCATGCAAGTTTGAACACCGTGTGCAGGGCACGGTCGTCTGAAGATGGTCCTCGAGAGGACTTCGCCGCCTTCGTGGAATGGACTCTGGGGAGAAACGGATTGCCATTCACCATCTGCCCCGTGGATGATCTCGCCAGATCCACACCTGACCCAGAGCCCAGCCCACCGTCTCCCCACTGTGCAGAGCCTACACCGATG